GTTCAGCAGATAGACACCAAAGTCATAAACATCTCAGCAGTGCCATGGAGGAGGGGGAATGAGAAAGAAAGGGCAGTCCCAATCTTCTCCACCAGTATATGTTGGCACCTTTTGCTTGGAATCAGTGTTGCTGACATGAACAAAAAGTCTGTCCCACTGTAACAAAATGAGGTAGCATAAAGGTTGACGGGACTCTGAAAGGCTTTGGCATATTGGCCACATACTGTGCTTCCATCTTTGAAAGTTCAGAGCTTCATCCGGGTGTTATTGCAGTCCCGTGGTTCTGGCCTTGGGGAAAATGGTGCAGCCAGAAGAGATTGCATCGTAGTGCTGGATGACTGCATGAAAAGCATTGCTGTTTACTGGGGACTGCAACTCTGAGCCCTCAGCTGCAGTAAGACAATAATTTTCAGCATCAGGTACAGATGACAGAGAGGGATGAAAGGAGGACAAGAATCATATCAGTGTTATGACTATGAGTTACAAATAGAAATGCTTATTTTACTTGGCAGACCTCTCTGTGTCTGGTAGTTTTTAGATGCTTGGTCCTCTTGCTCTTCCATAAGACTGGTGACCTCTCCTCTCTCCTTTTGATAATGCTTTCTGTTCTGCAGATGTTAACAGCCTCTCTCTCAAAACTCAGTAACAGGTTAAGTTAATGGTGTTATTGATATGCCAATAGATTGCAGCTGGGCTGAGGGCTCCTGAAGTCCACTCCGAAGTGCCATACCTACAGGCTGCAACAGACTGATCTTCTGGTGGATCTTTGTTTAGAAATCTTTGTTGAGTCAGCTCAGTGCACCTTGCCCCTGCCTCCTCCCCCGGCACAGAGCCAGCGTAAAAGAATGCAGCTCCGTAGAGTCTGACTAACTCAACAGAACTGCAATCATGTGCCCACGTCTGAGTCAGATTAAATTTGTACTGCTGGGTGACTCCAGCAGTGCACAGCACTGATGTTAATGGTGGGGGAACCAAGTGCTTAGAGCTGTTGCTCCTAGCCTGGATTTAGCATGAGCCTCAGTGCTTCCTTCTCAGATCTGATGAAGTAATTGCATATCTGCTCTTCACAGTGGGATCAAATAGTATAATAGAAGTTATTGTCTCTGTTTAAAACCTTGTTTTTCTTATAATTTGTATCTATCACATAGACAACATCCATCATATCTTCACAGATCCATAAAAATATAAGGTGTGACTTTCAAAAGTGTTTGGTATCATCTAGTCCCTACATCTGTTATCTGTGGTATATCTGGGGTAAAAAGAGTTTTGATAGGTTGATACAGCATGAAATAATTAGTAGATTGTTGTATTTTGGAAAGTAACAAAAGCTGGATGAAAAGATCTGCTTTTCTTGTGCATTAATGGATCCACAAAGGATCTCACTCTAGTCCTTCAGTGGAAATGGAGGACTTGTTGCCTGTCTCTCTGGTAATGTTTTAGTTTCCCTTCAGTGCTTTCTAGCAGCTGGAGAGTGTCCTACCATACAGCAGTGTCAGCCTATTAGTCAAAGCTAGGCTGCTTACTGTCATCTCTGCTGTCCTGCAGGAGCTTTGAGATGTGTACAGACCTTTTGCAATCAGTCTCAATTTTGCAAATGAGCAGTGCTGGTCTGTGGAAATGTCAGCCTTTTCAAACATGGCAAAGTAAATTTGTTCTTGATGTTCCTGTAAGGAGCATTTCAATAGACAGCATTTCAGTGCTACAGTGAAAATAATATAGTGGTAGTAGTGACCATCAAGGTAGTAGTGGCCAGCAGCATTCCTTTGGAAATACCTCTTAATAAGTAAAGCCTGAATGACAGACGGAAAGAGAGAGAGACTTGTCCTGTTACAAATGCCACCAAAGTGGCACTGGTATCCTATCCTGAATGCCTGGACAGAGGTTTATTGCAACGTTTTTGGGTGTGGAATACAGGCAAAACTTTGTTCCCTTTTTTCTTTACTACTGTGTTTGTCCAAGAGGAAGACAGCACTTCCACAGGAGAAATTCCCCACCTTTTTGGACCAGTGTAACACTCAACTCAGTACTTTTCTCACAGAGCACCTGTCATGATCTTTTAATTGCAAATGTTAATAGGTGCTGTAAGGTATCTGCTAAGCAACAGCAATGTATTTATGGTTGTTCTGTGGATTGTAGTTGGTGAACAAGTGTGGGGTATACTTTCAGAACAAAGTCTGTATATTTTAAGGTGCTTCTTTATAATCCCACTGAAATTATCCTATTAAAGGTAAAACAGTTGCAGATGACACCAAACTGGGAGGAGTGGCTGATACTCCAGAGAGTTGTGCTGCCATCCAGAGGGACCTTGGCAGGCTTGGGAAATGGGCTGACAGGAACTTCATAAAGTTCAATAAGGGGAAGTGCAAAGTCCTGCACCTGGGGAGCACCAACCCCATGCACAAATATATGCTGGAGCCCACCAGCTGGAAAGCAGCTTTGCAGAAAAGGACCTGGGGATCCTGGTGGACACCAGGT